TTCAGCCCCATTGGATAATTGTGGAGTCTGTTACCTAGCAAACACAGAGCCATGCTCAGGATGGATTTTATCAGCGCGCAATATGAGTTAGCAATTTGTTTTGGCCTTAACTTTCTCCTCCGACCTTGGATTGGCCCAAATGATATATGGCTGGAAAGAAGACATTCTGAACTTCAATTTCGAGTGCTTAAAGTCCTAATTTGATTAAGAGAAGCCCAAGTTGTAAGCCCTTGAAGTTGCTGGTCATGCTGACATGAGGATGAGCTGGTTGGAAGCTTGGTCATGGTGAGCTAGGCATGAGCTATTGAGCTTGTTGGAAGCTTGGTCATGGTGACATGAAGATGAGCTAGTGCTGCTGGTGGGATTTATTGGTGAAGTGCATCAACCAATTCATCTTTTATAATGCCAGTGTTGTATGCATTAGCCATATTGAATTCATATTTTCACTTCCCCTAGGCCTATAAATAGGGAAGTTCTCTAATTTGATCATTTGTTGTCTAACCTAAAATTAAGCATTAGGAACCCATTATGCATAGAAGAACATTTTAAACAACCAAGTATGTATCTAATCCCTGTTGTCGAATGTCCATACATACTCTTCCTATTCATAGTTCAATTCGTATTAAAGCATGGTGTATACTCTTAATTCAAACCAAGATTGTTAACAAACAAGTTCTAATGGTGATCAATCATTCAAACAAGCATGTTAACTTATAAGTATAATGAATAAGAACATGAATCATGAATCAAGCTTGAAACTCCAAACTTATAAACCCAGAATATTCATGTTAGGTTACATCGAAGCCCTAGTTATGGATTTAGCTACTCATAATGGAAAAGAGACTTGAACAGAAATGAGACAACATAATGAATACAATAAGAGTAGAAAAACCCTTTTTCTGAGGTTCTTGTGGTGTCCAAGGCTTCTCCAAGTGCTTCTCCTCTTCTAATGCTTCTCCAAGAGCTTCCCCACTTCTAGAAGGATGTATGAAGGATATGGAGGTGATTTGGGATGAGTTTGAGTGAGTGGTGATGGCTAAGGAAGATGAAATTCGTAGGGAAATGGAAGAGAAGTTTGCTGGAGTTGTTTTGGTGATTGTTGGAGTGTTTGGGATTTTGAGAGTGTTTGAGGATGGTTGGAGTGAATTGTGGGGTTGTGAATCCCAGGATTTGTTGTGTCTTGAATGTGGAATGGATGTGGTATTTTTAGGGAGAGGGGAGTGATAAATCTGAATTCAATATGGCTAATGCATACAACACTTGCATTATAAAAGATGAATTGGTTGATGCACTTCACTAATGCATACAACACTTGCATTATAAAATCTGAATTGGTTGATGCACTTCAGCAATAAATCCCACCAGCAGCCCTAGCTCATCTTCATGTCACCATGACCAAGCCTCCAACCAGCTACAATAGCTCATGCCTAGCTCACCATGACCAAGCTTCCAACCAGCTCATCCTGAGGTCAGCATGACCAGCAACTTCAAGGGCTTACAACTTGGGCTAGGCTGAATCAAATGAAGACTTTAAGATGTCCATTGTGAAGTTAAGGCCGAAACAAATTGCTAACTCAGTTTGCTCGCTGACAAAATCCATCCTGAGCATGGTTCTGTGTTTGCTAGGTGACGGACTCCAGATTTATCCAATGGGGCTGAATTTTGGATATGTTATAGTACACACCCATTGGAACAACTTTCATGAAGACTGTTGCCTCATCCGAGCTATGTAGGTTGCTGAAACGAAGCTTGCAATATGACCTACGGAACTGGACTGGCAGGGGGCTGTAGCCAAAATGAGTTTGTCTTTAAGCTCTTCTTCTCTTCATCCAAATTAGGCCTTAACATGCATGAATTGCATGAATTATGCTCTCTTGCTCTTTTGGCCTACAAAACACACAAAGGGAGGCAAATAACTCAAAATTATAAGAAACTAAGCAAAAGAAGTAAGTAAATTGGGCATGTATATGTATGAAATTATGAGCTTAACAGCACCTCCTCATCAAACATGCACGCTGCAATCCTAATAATAAGCCACCGGGCTTGGAGGATACCAAAACACATCTCCACATCTTTTTTGTAATAGGCAGCAAAAATTTTTGCTTCTCGAATAGGGGATGCGGAATAGATTTCACAAATGTGGTCCACCTCGGGTAGATGTCGTCTGCTAGATAATACTCATTCTAGTAGACGGTATTATTGTTTAAATAGGTGATATTCGGGGCTTTACCTCTCAAAACATCGTTGAACACGGGGATTAACCCAGCACGTTCAAGTCGTTTTGAGATCCGGCAACTCCGAAGAAGGCATGCCAAACCCATGTATCGAATCCAGCAACGGCTTCAAGGATGATATTTTTTTGCCCTTTCCTATTTCCACAATCTCCTTGCCAGGTAGTTGGGCAATTCTTCCATTGCCAGTGCATGCAGTCAATGCTACCAATAATTCCTGGAAATCCTCGAGCTTCGGCTTTTTGAAGAAGCTGTTGGAGGTCCCTGGGCATAGGTCTGTGCAGGTAATCCCTAGTGTACAGAGTTCCGACTGTATCACAAAATCTTACCAAGCTCTCCAAAGTACTGGACTTCCCCATCCAGGTAATCTCATCCACCTGATTAGCAGATGAACTATACGTCAGCATTCGTATTATAGCTATAAGCTTTTGCTCGGGAAGAAGTCCCAAAACCCCAACAGCATCACACTTTTGAACAAAGTATTCATTATAATTGCAAATATCATGCATGACTTTATTGAACAAATGGGGTTGCAGACTATATTGCCTTCGAAAATCAACATCAGAGTACAGAGAAGTTGGGATAAAATAATCTTCTAAAAGATTCTTACCTCGAGAATGCCTATGTCTGTCCACATTCAGGCCATGGCCGACTTGTGAACCACGGCGGCGGCCTTGGTTTTCTTTCTTCAAGCAAAGCCACTGCTATGACAACTTGTTGATCTAGTTCCCTCTGCACCCTTTTGCCTTCAGCTCGTCTACGCCATCTTTCTTTAGTTTCTCGCTCTTTCCCCTCCAAGACCCTGCTAATGTATGACATAATGGAGTATGAATTCTAAAATATGAGAAATGAAAATATAGAGAAGATCTGGTGTGTGAGGTATGAGATGAGCCTCTGGTTTTATAGAAAAATTTAGGCAGATAGAGATGACACGTGGCGCGATTTTAGAGGGTGAAAATATTATCTGAAATTTGAAATTCATCTGAAATTTATCTAAAATTTGAAATCGAAAATCTTATTTGAAAATTTTATCTGATTATGAGATATGAATTTTATAATAAATATTGACACGTACGAACCCAAAAATATTATATGAAAATATTATCCAAATTAATTGTTTAGGTAAACAAATTTATGAAAAAAAAGAAAAAAAAGAATAGTCTTTGCCCTTTGTCATGGCAACGGGTGGAAACACACATTGTTTTTTGCAAGGGCAGCCACTATTCAAGTGAATAGTAGCTGCCCTAGCCCCCCCTAGCCATGGGCAAAGGGCAAATGGGTGGAATTGCCCTAAGAGCACCTCCACCCCAAAAGACAAGGGCAAGGTTTGACACTATTCACATGAATAGTGGCAGCCTTCCACCTCAAAGGGCATGGGCAAGGGCAAGGGCAAGGGCAAACACTAATCACTTTACTTTATTTTCTTTTCTTTTTTTAATACTTAAACCATTAATTTTGATAAGCTTTTCAGATAATATTTTCGGTTGCCACGTGTCACTATTTATTATAAAATTCTCACCTAAAATTTCAAATAACATTTTCGGATAAAATTTTCGAATTAAATTTTCGGATAAGATTTCGGTTGCCACGTGTCCATCAAATTCTAGATAAGATTTTCGGATGAGATTCTCGGTTGCCGCGTGTCTTATTTCAGATAGGATTTTCGGATATTTATTATAATAAAAAATTATAATCTCATATTTCAGATAAGATTTTTACCTTCTGAAATTGCGCCACGTGTCCCATGTCAGATAAGATTTTCAGATATTCATTAAAAACTTATAATCTCATATTTCATCTTAATTGCATCACGTGTCCGATGTCAGATAAGATTTTCAGATATTTATTAAAAAATTATAATCTCAGATTTTAGATAAGAATTTCATCATCTAAAATTGCGCCACGTGTCATCTCTATCTTCTAAATCCCTCTGTAAAACTACACGTGTCATCTCTATCTTCAATGCAATTTGATCCAAACACCATGGACTTATTTGTGAGCATTTTCATGAGTGAATCAATTTGTTTACTTGCTGCCATAACATGATTAGAACAATTAGGGTGCATTCTAAAACCTCACCATCTTGTCTTAGGGTGCGTTCTAATCATGTTATGGCTACCCTTCCAGCTATAGCTACTACTCGACGAGTGGAACACTTTATTCAACTATGGCAACGTCCAATTCCAATGGCAAGTGGCTGGAAATTCGATTGGAAAATCGGCCAAAACCTAGGTTACAGTTCGAATTGTCTATGCTAGAAATCGATTAAATCCTACCCAACCATCAGCTAGAGCTCGAAGAGTAGGTGAGAAACCATACCTGGATCAATGAATTCCGTCGTTAGAGCCCAGACGCAGGCCAAACGTGGCCGGCCTGTTTCGCGCGAGGGAGAAGTCTGGGGAGAGGAGAGAGAGAGAGAGAGAGAAATCTGGTTTTTAAAAATAGTTTTTTCAAAAATTACGGTTATGGCACTAGCCTATTTTTTATCGTATCTTTTTCGTTACAACTCCGATTCGACCCCACTACGTGTCTACGGACTTGTCTCGACGTGCCCTACGCAACGGTCTAATTGAAATTTCCAAATTCTCTCCCAATCAAAAAGTCAACTTTTATACCAATAAAATATTCAGGGGTAAAATTGTTTTTTACATGAATAAATTAATAATTAAATATTAATTTAGGTTTGGGTTATTAAACAGTATAGGTCAAACCTCTTAAATATAGGTTATTTCGCAGCTGCACCTGGGTGATACCCTAGGCTACCTACGTACCCTTGGGTGAGGGATCAAACCACACATAGTTCATATCTCGACAAATCACGATTTCAGATGATATACGATTATTTAAAGCAGAACCAACGATAAATTTTAGATTCATCTACAACTTCAAATTCGACAAGACACATACTGAACACATTATCAATTCCTTCCCTTATGTCAGTTCAACCCCGCAACCATACCCTATCCAAGGCGTATGTTGTCGAACAACACTTTCCAATCCACAACTTAAACATTCAAACATGTACAAAGTACTTACGAAGCACAATCTCACGAATCTCAACCCAGAAACGAATCCACATATATATATATATATATTATGTATGCCTATAAATGCATAAATATATATATAGATATATAGATATATAAATACACCCACCTCTCACCATCATCATGTACCATGGGACAACAATCCAATCCAGGGATCGTTTAACTAGACCATATGGAGGAATCCTCAACAACCATGTGGCCAGGGAACGAGCCATCCAACGGGGGAACTAACTCTCAGCCAACCCGTATAGCCGAATCCTCAAGACTCGTACGCTTGTGAGAAGTCCTACGATCGTAGACTACCCAGTCAAGGGTCTACGGTAACACCCCGTCAAGGGTGCCCGGGTTCCGACATATTCACGTATCCATATCCATGCATCCATTTCCATGTATCCAAGTATCCATATCAACTGTTTCCAAGTATCAGTATCCAAGGGGAGGTACGTATGATGATGCACATCATGTACTGGGGAAAACAATCCAACTGGAGATCGTTTGACTAGTCCACATGGAAGAATCCTCAATTGACCATATGGCTAGGGAACGAGCTATCCAATCGGGGAACTAACTCTCACCCAGCACGTACATCCGAATCCTCAAGACTCGTACGCCTATGACAAGTTCTACGCGCGTAGACTACCCAGTCAAGGGTCTACGAAACACCCTGTCAAGGGTGCCCGAGTTCCAACATATCCAAACCATATCCATAATTTACAAGTATCCATCAATTCCAGAATCCATAACCGAGGAAGCCCACAAGTCGGAAAATCCAACGCTCCGGGTGGGTATAGTGACCAGGGAAGGTACATATGATGGTAGAGTTTGTAACCCTTATATAAATATTATAAAAAATAATATTCCCTTCCTTCATTCAATTTTTCCAAAATACATATTCATAGTATAAATAATAAACTCTCAAGCATAACTTCCATAACTAGGGAGGTACATAATGTAGTGCTAATAGCACTTAAACTAACATAAACCACAACCAATCCATATTTGATAAACCCTTTCCAACAACCCCATGTACATCAACACATATCCAAATATAAATAACCATACTAAAAAATAGAACAAATTCATTCAGAATAGTCACATCCCGCAAATATACGAAAATAAATCCAATACTCTTGTTATCATATTATATTTCTACTTCAAAACATATAACAACTCAAAGTCAAAGGACTCAATATGCATATTTTTCTATCCTTGAAAATAATGTATATTATTTGAGAACAAAGTCCACTCACTTCTTAGTAATCATAGTCGAGCCCAAGGCTCACTTTCACAACCCACCAAATCAAGTATCCCATACTCATCTATTCCTTGATTTCCATTATCAAAATAATAACCAAGAATTCCATAAGATAATATAAACAAGCTCATACTCTCAATATAATCAAAATAACTCAAATAATGGTCAAGACTCGTTCACACGGTTGTGCTAGTAATTCGCAAAGGGTAAATTTACCTCGGAAGACTCACGGTTAGCCGAGGGTCAAACTTTCTACATTGGCTCAACCGGGCCCACGGGACCCACAATCTCCGTTTTACGATCCAAAAGTTCCTATGGGTTCCACAAGGTTTAGGAAACACGTCCTGCAAGTTTGGTATGGATCGAACGGTCGGATCGCTCGCAATTGCACGATCGGACGGTTATCGTTTAATGCAAACTTTAAGTTATTAAATCGGGACATCCGGGGCTCCGATTCACGATCCGCGAAATCCTACACGATTCTAGGAATGCCTAGATCAACATATATTGAAATGAAGTCGATCCAACAGTCCGAACATATCAAACCCGAATAACGACTCATCCTCCACAATCATGTTATGGAGGATGATGTAAGTCATCATAATGCTCTGCAGCACCTCCTCATCAAGCATCCGAGCAGCACCCCTAATAATTACCCAACGAGCTTGCAAGATACTGAAACACCTTTCCACGTCTTTCCTATAACCTTCTTGAAAGGCAGCAAAGCTTTTTTCCTTCTCGGATTGGGGATTCGGAATCGTTTTCACGAATGTCGTCCACCTAGGATATATTCCGTCGGCGAGGTAGTACGCACCCGAGTATATAGTATTGTTGATTCGGTACGTGATTTGGGGGGAATGACCTCGCAATACCTCATTCAACACCGGGGATTGACCAAGCACATTGTGGTCATTCTGAGATCCGGCAACTCCGAAGAAGGCATGCCAAACCTAAGTGTCGAATGAAGCTACGGCCTCCAGAATTATACTTTTTTGGCCCTTTCGATTCCCACAATTTCCTTGCGAAGCAGTTGGGCAATTCTTCCACTACTAGTGCATGCAATCGATGCTTCCAATCATTCCTGGGGAACCTCGAGCCTCAGCTTTTTGTACAAGCCTTCGGAGGTCCCTAGTCGTAGGTTTGCGAAGGTACTCCTTCTTGTAGAAATTTTCTACTGCATCACAAAATCTCACCAAGCACTCTACAA